CAGTAATTATCCCGGATGGAAAGCAAGCTGCAATAACTACCATGACTCCCAGCTTACTTTTGTATTCTAGTAGCTTTAAAAGAACAAAACCCCCAAAGCCGAAGCAGGCATCAAATGAGATCTCAGGGGAGCTGCTGTTGCCTTAGGAGGCTGGTGCTGGATCCTCCCCAGCCAAACCCTCAGGCAGACGCAGCTCGCCAGGCTCCGCCGCCTTCACCCGGTGATTTCGTGGAAGGGAACAACAGTTCCCATACGTGGGTGACCGTTTGTCACAGGCAGTGACAGCGGTCCCTGCAGCCAGGGCTGGAAGTCGGGTCTCCTCCCCCTGCACTAATCCTGCCAGCAGCCTGGTCCTGCTTACGAACAGGATCTGCCTTGTTCGTAACCCAGAGCAAGAAGTCGTTGCACGCCAAAGCTTGCTGCAAGACAGGCACAGTAAAGCGCGGGGGTTTTGCGGCGCGGGCATCTGCCAAAGCAGGCTCTGGGTCCGACACGGGTGCTGGGTGCAGGCAGGGGTGCAGGCAGGGGTGCAGGCAGCAGCTCCGGCTCCTTCGCAGCCTCTGCCGCGGAGAAACATCTCGGCTGACTCACCCCCGCCGCGAGCACCGCCCTCCCGCTCCGGCTTCCCAACCCTTTTCTCTGCAACCCCCAAGTGGTTTCTTTATGGACAGAAGAGAGACTTCCAGTTGGTTTTTTCTTTTTTTTTTTTTTTTTTCCAACAACAAAACAGGCGTTGCCAAGCACAAAGCAGGAGGACAAAAAAAGGGCTGTACCGTTTGGGTAACCAAATCATCCGAGAGTGTTAAAGCATTCATCACAACAAGGGGAACGACATGGCAGGCTTTCCCGGTGATAAATATTCTCTTGATTAATACAGAAAAGAAAAATCCCACCCTAACTATGCAGACGTGGAGTTTTAATCAGCCTTAACGAAGCAGAACTCCTGTTTGTAGGCGACTAGAAACAGAAAGCATCATTTAGTGTCTGTCAATTAGTGTCACGCTCCGCCACTAACATATCCATCAAGATTAAATAGCGTCTAATGCTGACATAACATTCACACTTGTTTGTGCCAAATCATTTATTTAAAGCTAAAAAAAAAAAAGAAAAAAGTTGCCTTTGGATAATGTAACTGTTGACTAACATTTGCATGCAATAAACCACATACTTGGCAAAGACTCGCAGGACTGGAGCCAAGAAAAATCTTCAGCTTGACCTACACAACATTTGCAAACCAGAGCAGTGGGAACAAGTTCGCTACACGGAGCTAAATAGGGGATGGAAAATGCAAGGACACCCAAAGTGCCAGGCTGCGTCAGACCGGTGTTTCCCCCCGGTTTTGGTACCCGGTTATCACAAAGACGCTTTGGAGGGAAGCGCAGAAAACCTTTCAGCAACGAGCACTAGGACGTGTCTTTTGGGATGTGCGGGTGCTCCCCAAGAAGAGAGGCAAGCTAAGCCATAAAGCGCAAGGATTTAGAGCTCTTCAAAACCCTCGAGGATTTTCAATATTTACTATTCGTATTCTGGATGCTCTTGTCATCCACAGAAAGACTTCACCTCTTTCTAACCCGGGTGGCAAGGCCGTCCCGCGGCAGGGAGTCCCACAGCCCATTTCGAGGTGCTGGACCACTTGGGGCTCCCTCCACCCCGAGCCATCCCGGCAGCAGCGATGCCAAAGGGGGGGGGTCAGGGAAACATGGGAGAAGCCGAGTGGCACAGTCATCGAGGCAGATTTTCACCACGATGGACACCCGATGGGGAAAGGAAAGGAAATTGGGGGGAAGAAGAAAAAAAAAAGTACTTTGGAGATGTGGCAAAATGCAGCTTTCCAGATTGGCGTTCCCATGGGAAACTCCTTCGCTGCCTCTCACAAAAATCCGAGGCGCATTCCTCTTCTTTCTTCTGTTATGGT